AAAAAAAGCACTAAAAGGTGTACAATGCCTCGAAAAACTCTTTATACACATTGAACTTTCCACATTGTGTCATATCACAACTACAAATTTCAAAGTATTTTACAGTAATTTAAGGTCAACCCAAAGTAGTGTGTTGTTGTAAAGTGAAAAGAAAATGATAAATGTTTTTTTTTTCATTTTTTCCAAACACATTTTTATTCACACCCTTTGATACCGAAAATTAAAATCATGTGCAAGAAACTGCCTTCAAAAGTCATTTAATTAGTAAATCATGTTCACTTGTGTGTAATTTAATCGAGGTATACATCCAGGTGTTTGTTACACATTATTAGTGAGCCAGCACCATGAAGGCAAAGGAAAACACCAGGCATAAAACAGAAGGGAAAGCATGTAAAATGTTTAAAAGTCAGGTTGTAAAACAATATCCCAAACTTTGAACATTTCACAGAGCTCATCAGAAAATGGAAATATTATAATACAAACCTACCAAGATATGGTCATCTACTTAAACATGTCAATCCCTTTGGAATTTTTCCTGTATTTTGACCCTTAAAAATCCTCATTACTAATACTCGATACAACGGTGGGAGGGGAACGTCAGACTATTGGACAGAGATAAAAGCCTGCAGCACAGAGGAGCGAGGACAGGTGGGTAGATAGAACTTATTTCTAATGGCATGGTGGGTTGGAATCAGACGTACCAAAAGTATTCACATTCATTACTTAAGAAGTATAGATACTAAGGTTTGAAAATATTTTTTTTGGAAGTAGAATTATCAACTCAAGCTTTTTACTCAAGTAAAAGTATAAAAGTACTGGATTTAAAACTACTTAAAGTATAAAAGTAAAAGCAATGAACACTTAAAAAAGCCATTAATGTGATGATTGATTGTTGTCTGCTTTGATTTCCTGTTTGGTCCTAATTACACCAGCTGTGGATGATGGTCCTGATGAGTCCCTGGGCTTTAAGACTGTCTCCAGATGAGTTGGCCTTCGCTCAAGCATCACATCCTTTTTGGTACTGCTAAGTCAACTAAACGTTTGGGAAAGTGTTTAAAGATTATTATCTGCCTTACCTTTGGTATTTTGTTGTTTAAGAGTTTTGCTTTGACGTTGTCTGGAGTTTTTGCCTGTCCAGGATCACTACCTGAAGGAACATGAAGAAAACCAAGAACCTGGCCACACTTCCTGAAGATTTCTGCTTACCTTGTGAGGACTTTCCTTCTTACCAGGACCGACTCATCCACAACAAATCTGTAAGAAAAGAGAGAAAGCAATTTTCACTGTACAACTGAAGATACAGTTTCTGTTTAAAAAAGACTCACTTGAACTCTTCCTCCTTTTTACAGATCTGGCTGAGTTCCCTTTTTCCTCACCTGTAAATAAAAACACTTACCTTTTTTTTCATCTGTTTCCTGTGTTTGGTTCCACTCAATACTCTGACTTCCTGAGCTCATGTCGATTAAGGATAAAAGCTTAGGCTGTGCCATAGGGTTATAACAGTGGTTCCCAAAGTTTGGTTTGGAACCCACAGTGTTGTCCTGAAACTATGGAAGCCCATTTCTGCCACCCTGATAAAAAAATAAAACTTGTATCTCATAATTATGACTTAGCTATCTCATAAGATAGCTAAGTCATAATTATGAGATAACTAATTTATGACATAGCTATCTCAAATACTATCTCATTATTATGATATAGCTAAGTGATAATTATGAGATAGTATCTCATAATTATCACTTAGCTATATCATTATTATGAGATAGTATCTCATAATAATGAGATAGCTAAGTCATAACTTAGCTATCTCATAATAATTAGATAGCTGATTATTATGAGATAGTATCTGATAATTATGAGATACAAGTTTTATTTTTTTATCAGGGTGGCGGAAATGGGCTTCCATATAAAAACATCCAGGTGGACTCCTAAAAATATTTTTGAATTAAATACACAAAAAAATGACAAGAACTTTTTTCTTTGCATTTACAAAATAATATTAGTGTACTTAACAT